CACCAAAAAAAATCCTACTAAAAAATGGGCAGAGGACCTGGATAGACATGTTTCCGAAGACAGATGGCCAATAGACACATGAAACGATGCTCGGTATCATTAATCATAGGGAAATGCAATCGAAACCACAATGAGCTATCACCTCACGCCAGTTAGAATGTCTAAAACCAAGGAGACAAAAATGAACAAGTGCTGGAGAGGATGTGAACAAAAAGGAACTTTATGCGCTGTTGGTAGGGATGTAAATTAGTGCAGCCACCACGGAAAACAGTATGGAGGTTCCTCAAAAAATTAAAAACAGAAATATCATAGGATCTAATAATTCCACTATGGGGTCTTTACACAGGGAAAAGGAAAACACTAACTCAAAGATACATGAACCCCTGTGTTTACTGCAGCATTATTTACAATAACCAAGACATCAACTCTTGCATAGATTATTGCCATAGTTAGTCTCCCTGCTTCTACCCTTAATTCCCAAAGGACATTTTCAGCACAGGACCCAGGGATTCCTTTAAAACCTAACTTCATCTCAAGCTTCAGACCAAAACCTGCCAATGGTATTCCATCTCAGAGTAAAAAACCAAAATCACTGCAAAGATCTGCAAGGACATATATAATCAGCCTCCCGTCACCTCTCTGACCCTCTTTCCTACCATTCCCCTTCTCCTTCCATTCAACACACGGGCTTCCTCATACCCACCAGTACACACTCATCCCAGGGTCTTAGTCTTGTCTGGGATGCCTTCAGGGCTTTGTTCGAACATCTGAGCAACTCCGACCTCACTGCATATACACACACTTGCTCTCCCCCTTCCTTGCCTTGTCTCCTTACCACAACAATTTTATTACCCACTTAGAGGTTTTCATTACTTCTTTAATCTTTTTCTACTAGAATATGTACTCCATGAAGGTAAAGGCTTTGTTGTTGTTGTTGCTGCTGCTGTTTTACTGAGAGAAAGATACAAGTGCCCATGTGAATGAGGGAGACAGAATCCCAAGCAGGCTCCACTCTCAGCACAGAGTTGGACACAAGGCCTGATCTCTTGACCCCAAGACCATGACCTGGGCTGACATCAAGAGTCACATGTTTAACCGACTGAGGCACCCAGGCGCCCCGAAGGTAAAGGATTGTGTGTGCTCCGTTCACTGCTTTATCCCAAGTAGTGCCTAAAACTACATCTAACACATTGCAGGTTCTCAATATTTTTTTTTTTTTTTACTGTAGATGACCCAGTCTAACAAGATATGGCCCCTGGCTACTCCCTCTGTCCCAACTATGCTACACCTTTTAAATATTCTCTGAGTATGCCAAACTAGTTTTTGACTCAGAGGTCTTCACACTTTTTTTTTTTTTCTGCCTGGAATATCATTCCCCAAATACTTGTATGGCTTGCTGCCCACATCTCTATTCAAATGACACCTCCTCAGAGAGGCCTTTCCTAAGCACCACATCTAAAATAACCACACAGGGACGACTGTGTGGCCCAGTCAGTTAAGCGTCTGCCTTCAGCTCAGGTCATGATCCCAGGGTCCTGGGATCGAGGCCCGCAGCGGGATCCTTAGTCAGCAGGGAGCCTGCTTCTCCCTCTCCCTCTGCTCCCCTTGCTTGTGCACATGCACTCGCTCGCTCTCACTCTCCCTCTCTCAGGCAAATAAAATAAAATAACCACACAGAGACTAAGCATCCACACACACTCACAATGACCTCTAAGCTGACACCATAACTGCAGAACATAATTCCATCTTTCTCACTGCAAGGTAAGCTCCATAAGGAAAGAAGGCATTACCTCTTTCTTACCACTGTATCTATGACACCTATAACAAAGCCTACCACAGAGCAGGGACACAGTATTTGTTGACCAACTGAATGAATTAATAAAATGCTTAAGGTAAATTTAGCTAGTCTTTCTATAACATAGGAGGAAATTCTTAGACTGGATGTGAAGTTGAAGCAAATACCTAATAACCCTTCTTCTATCACTATTAGTCCATGAAATAAATAAGGTGAGTGAGAATGGCTATGACCAGGTAGTGCCTTCAAAAGTTACTAAAGAACGGCTGAAGGATTCTGAATTGAAGGACACATTAAAAGCCATATTTCTTAATTACAATTTTGACATCCCATACAGCACTGTGTATGGATCCAAAGAAGAGAAAGAGAACAGAGAAAGAAAGATGAGATGGGTCCACTGACGTAGACATACAGTATCACACAGTGAGGGAAGAAGAAAACGTTGCTAAGCCTCTCAGTGTCCACAGAAAGAAAAAGACTTGAATACCGACAGAACCAGAATTAGAACCCAGGCCTTCTCTCAACACCAAGCTCCCCCAGCTATAGCTCTGCCTCACTGGCAAAGCCCAAGCCATGTAAGAGTCTAATGCAATGCTAAGAAATAAAGACATTCCAGGAAAAAAGGGGACAAAGGAAAAACTGGCACTCAAGAAATATAAATAGCCAATAAGCACTGGAAATACTGCTCAGGCACAATAATAGCAAGTGTTTAAACAATAAATAGTTTTTTGTCTACCCCACTGATAAAAAAAAAAAAAGAAGACGACGACTGACAAAAGCTCTATTGCTGGCTGAAAGTATGGTAAAACTGGTATATCCTTTCTGTAAGGCTTTCTAGCAATACCTATTAAACTTTAAAACATATGTATCCTTTGACCCAGCAATTCCATTTCTAGAAATTCACCTTAGAGAAACAAAGGAGACAAATATAAAGCAGAGAATGGTAAATCTGGCTGCATATCATAAGCACATTAAAACAACCTCACTCTGGGTGCCTGAGTGGCTCAGTCAGTTAAGCGTCTGCCTTCGGCTCAGGTCATGATCCCAGGGTCCTGGGATCGAGCCCCACATCAGGCTCCCTGCTCAGTAGGGAGCCTGCTGCTCCCCCTGCTTGTGCGTGCTCTCTGTCAAATAAATAAAATCTTTAAAAAACAAAACAGAACAAAAAACAATCTCATCACTATTAATAAAGTTTTTACTTCCAACAAGCTGGTAGAAGGAATTGTTAGCTGTCAGCAATTTATAAATGAGTAATAATGAAATGAAAGTTTGAGACTAAAAAGAAAGACAATATTTAAAGGTAACAATAGGATCATACGAAAGTTTTTTCTCAAAAGATAGAGGAATTCAAGTTTGATAAAGGGAATAAAAGTCATCAGTGAATGGGGTGCCTGGGTGGCGCAGTCGGTAAGCGTCTGCCTTCGGCTCAGGTCATGATCCCAGGGTCCTGGGATCGAGCCCCACATCCGGGTCCCTGCTCGGCAGGAAGCCTGCTTCTCCCTCTCCCACTCCCCCTGCTTGTGTTCCTTCTCTTGCTGTGTCTGTCAAATAAATAAATAAAATCTTAAAAAAAAAAAATCGCCCGTGAAAAGGGAGATACTAAAAATGATGAAAAAAGAAACATCCTACAGTAGTGTTACTTCCAGGTGTGATTTATTAGGAGAGCTTTTATAGTATCAAATACCCAGGTCCCATTCTGAATTAGAATCTCCAAGAGTGGAATTTAAGGATGTTGACGCAAAACCTACCCAGGTGATTCCACTAAACATCCCTGATTGAGATCCACCATTCTCCCAGACAGAGGTTCTCAATCTTGAGTGCTCACTGTATTCACCTGAGAAGCTTTTGAAAATTACAAACAGGGGCGCCTGGGTGGCTCAGTCGTTAGGCGTCTGCCTTCGGCTCAGGTCATGATCCCAGGGTCCTGGGATCGAGCCCCGCATCGGGCTCCCTGCTCCGCGGGAAGCCTGCTTCTCCCTCTCCCACTCCCGCTGCTTGTGTTCCCTCTCTCACTGTATCTCTCTCTGTCAAATAAATAAATAAAATCTTTAAAAAAAAAAAAAGAAAATTACAAACAACTGAGGGGCACCTGGGTGGCTCAGTTGGTTAACCATCTGCCTTTGGCTCAGGTCATGATCCAGGGGTCCTAGAATCGAGTCCCAAGTCAGGGAGCCTGCTTCTCCCTCTGCCTGCTCCTCCCCCTGCTTGTGTACTCTCGCACACGCGCGCTCTCTCCCTCCCTCTCTGACAAATAAATAAAATCTTTAATAAAAAAAAAAATTTTAGGGGCGCCTGGATGGCTCAGTTGGTTAAGCGACTGCCTTCGGCTCAGGTCATGATCCTGGAGTCCCGGGATCGAGTCCCACATCGGGCTCCCTGCTCAGCGAGGAGCCTGCTTCTCCCTCTGACCCTCCCCCCTCTCATGCTCTCTGTCTCTCATTCTTGCTCTCTCAAATAAATAAATAAATCTTTAAAAAAAAAATTTTTTTTATGCTTCAAAGGACACCATCAAGAAAGTGAAAGGACAAGTCATATAATGGGAGAAAATATTTACAAATCCTATGTCTGATAAACATCCAGTATCAGAATGCAATAATTACACAAGTCAACAATTAAAAGACAAATAACCCAATGTAAAACATGACAGAAGATATGAATACATATTTCTCCAGAGGTATACAAATGGCCAAAAAGCACATGAAAAGATGTCAACATCATTAACTACAAGGAAAATGCAAATCGAAACCACAATCACCTACCACTCCACACCCACTAGGATGGCTAAAATTAATTAAATAATAAATAAATAAAACAGCATTGACTATGGTGTAGATTAGACCACCCAGAAAGAAAAAGGATTAAGAACCAAGCCTTGAGGAACTCCAAATTTAACTGCCAAATAGAAGAGAACCAGCCTATAACAGAGACCAAGCAGCAGCAACCCGAAAAGGAGAAAATCTGTAGGTGACAGAAGGCAAAGGAAGAGAACATGTCAAAGAGGTCAACGAGGTCAGTGCTGCTGAATGTAGACGAAAAGTAAAGTGAATGAAAATGTCTCTTAGATTTAGTGATACGGCATGATTTGGAGAGGATATTTCCATAGAATGATAGTGGCAACATTACTAAGAAACTAGGCTGCCTTTCTGAACTTTCTAATGTGTTAACACTTCGTTCAAGCGTAAAAGGTCTGAAAATAAGTGAGTACCTTGATTATCTGCAATTAGTCTCAACTCCTCTGGAAAGTCTGGAAAATAAAAACTGATTAGAAAAAGCGAGCTCCCAACAAGTTCACAAACCCACAGTAAGAACTCTCTAAAACTAGCTAAGAGGGATTGGATTTCTTAAAAGACCGCTTTATACAGCAAGGTGAATAATGTTCCGTACTACTCCCAACTTCTCACTGAGCGGGTCCGGTGCGTTTACATCCACCACTGTTTGCCGTGATGGTGACGGAGCGTCTGGCCACAGTAATAAACATGACCCAGGACCCAGCCCTACAACACGTGTGCGTTACTCGAGTAATACCAACTACAAAACGGAAACGAGGCAATGAGGTAGGTATACAGATCTCCTTTCACCAGAAAAACACGTGTCGTCCCGAGATTCAGAGAGAGGTTTTATGAGTGAAAGGGAACAAAAGTGAAAACCACAGGACGTGGGCCCTTCTAGCCAACTTCTCTTCAAATCCTTGACATACGGCTCTGTGAAAGCTACGTAACTGCGGAAGCCTTGTCCCGTCCCACAAATTCAGCACAGAAAGTGGGAGAACAAATGGAATTAGATTTGACGGTAAGGAACGAGGTCCCTTAAATATTCCTTACAGCCCGCCAGCACCTAACGCCAACGACTCTGTCCTCACTTCAGGCAGCGCTACCCGCCTCCCAATTCCCCGACCCCAGCTGGCAAGTCCCCTTTCAACTACGAAAAGCAACCAGCAAACGGCCCGAGAAAGACCGAAACTGGAGAAACAAGGCTCCACCATTAAAGAAGCTCTAGCCACACTCTGCCCCACATCGATCCACCCGCCACCCTTACCCAGAGATCAGGAAATAACATACCAGTCCGAAGTGAGAGAACCACACGCCGTTCTGCGGATACGGGAAACGCTTCAGATGGAGCTCGCCATGACACATACGTCCCGCCACGTCTATTTGCGCATGCTCGGCGACGGTGGCCCGGAGAGGCCAAATTGCATCATCGCTGGAAGTGCGAGTTCAGGTCTAACTTACTTTGGTAAAGGTTACGCTTGGAATTCCTATGTTTGCAGGAGTGAAAATAGACACCAAAACCTCAGGTTCTTAAAATCGGTTAATAGCTATCTTCTGCTGAGCTCTTACTATGTGTCAGGCACCATGTTAAGCGCTTAACATAAACATGATCTCCCAAATTATTATTATTATTATTATTATTATTATTATTATTATTATTATTATTATTATTTTACCAAAGAGGAAACAGGGAGTGTACTTACTTGCCTAAAGTTACTATACTAGTTGTGACAGCCCTCTCTGCTGAATTCAATTTTGCCCAACTCTGAAAGAACCTACTCTTTTCATTACATTTTACTTTCTTCCTCAACCTTTAGTGAAAAGAGGTCATATTGGAGAAGAGAGTAGACAAGGACAAAAAACAGTTGGATTAAACAGTATAGATCATTTAACACCAAGCATTTTTGTTTTGTTTTGTTTTTTAATGCTTAGAAGGCAGATAAACTGTAAGGCAGTTTAGCAGAAAGAACTTCCATGGAGTATACAGATTCTGACCTAGTTGCTTTCCATGTGTTTTCTCACTTTATTATTTTTTTGCCCAACACACTGTGCTTGACCTTGTTTACTGAAAGAGCATCTCCACTTTAAAAAATGAAGACAACTGGCCATGAAGAAGACAGAAATCATTAGCTTTATTCCTAGTGCAATTCCTTCTAACTGTGACCTAGAGTCCACTGCAGTCCTCACCCAGCTGAATTCGAATTGTACATTTACGTTGCCCCATCTCTTTCACCATAATCCCACTGCCTAGCATATAATCTTCCACTTAATGGCCTCTCCATAAGCATACCTTAAATGAAGTGACTGACCCCATCCCTTTCCCCCCAAGATCTAGTTGATTTCACTTAAAGAAATTTTACTGAGTACACATCACCTGGCCTCAAGCATGATGCTGGATGCTAGAGCTAGAAAGGGAAAAAAAGACAACTCCCTACCTGAAGGATATTTCCAGGTTATAGTTTCAGTAGAAAAGAGCAATCGTTGTGGAAGATGAATGCACAGGGACCGTGGAGCACAAAGGGGAGATTTCTCCTCTTACATAAGGGGGTCAAGACTCCCCATGGGGGAAGTAAGAGCAATTGAGGAAGGTATTCCAGGCAGGGAGATAGTAAGAGCAAATGTATGGAGGCCTGAAGTATAAACTCTCATATATTATAAAAGCAAAAAGAGTAAAGGGGGGGTGATAGTTGAGAAGGCTGGAGAGGCAAAATGCAGGGACCACATGAAGGTGAGCCTTGTTTGCTAAAATAAACATTAGATCAGACATAATCTTGGATGTATTAGGTAGCATGAAAGTGTCTGAGCAGATGATTCTTTCAGGAGGATGGGTTGGAGGACAAAACTTCAGACATGAATAAATATTGAAAACCTAAATGGAATTGTTGACTGTGAGGAAAGGGGAAATGGAATATGAATCATTTGAAAATTCAGTGACCCTACCTCTAGAAATTTATCTTACAGAAATGTTCACAGTTATACCAAATGACATATGTGCCAGGTTATTCTTTGAAATGTTGCTTGTAATAACAAAATACCAGAAACCCTCTCTGGCTTCTCAATAGGGAATGGTTAAATATATTTATGGTATCTATACAGCTCTTAAGAAAGAATAAGGTTGCTTTTAATGTACTACCCAAGACATTGTTAAGTGGAAAAAGAAAGTTGCAATATAGTGTTTACAGTGTATTGGTATAGTTATGGAAAATATATATACATGTAAATATATACATTGGTACAGGTTTACTTTTCCCTCTATTCCCTTTGGTAACTGTTATTTTTGTACCGTGCCTATGTACTACTTATTCAAAAAATAAAGATTCATTTTATAAATAAAATTAAAATGGCACTTGATAATTTATAATTTACCGGTTTATCTGTTATTTTATAGTATCGAACTCTGATTTTCCTTTATGTTAATATTTAAATTTTAAATCTTTTTTTGGTGGGAAATATATAACATAAAATTTACCATTTTTGCCATTTTTTTTTTATTTGAGACAGAGAGAATGAGAGAGACAGAGAGCACATGAGAGGGGGGAGGGTCAGAGGGAGAAGCAGACCCCCCGCCGAGCAGGGAGCCCGATGCGGGACTCGATCCCGGGACTCCAGGATCATGACTTGAGCCGAAGGCAGTCGCTTAACCAACTGAGCCACCCAGGCGCCCCCATTTTTGCCATTTTTAAATGTACAATTCAGTAACATTGAGTACATTCACATTTTCATGCAGCCATACCACCATCAATTGCCAGAATTTTTTCATCCCCCCAGACTAATCTGTACTCACTCAGTAACTCCCCTTTCCTTCTTCCCCCCACTGCTGGCAACCATAGTTCTGCTTTCTGAGCGTGTGAATTTGATGACTCTAGGTACCTCATATAAGTGGAATCATGCAATATTTGTCCTTTTGTAACTAGCTTATTTCACTTGGCATAATGTCTTCAACCATATTGATGTAGTTGCATGTGTCAGAACTTCCTTTTTTACAGCTGAGCAATATTCCGTTATATGTATATATCACATTTTGTTTATAAATTTTAAATCTCTATGCTTTGATTCTCAAATTAGATTGTAAACTTCATAAGAATAGACACTCTATCTTGTTATTGTTTTTTCAGCCCACAAATATAATATTAAATGCTTTATAAATGTTTGATGGCAGACAAACCAGTTTATGTGTAGAGACACACTAAAAATGCAAGTGAATCTATAAAATAATAGTAAAGATTTTTGAGAACTTATAAGTGTGTGCCAGTAACAACAGTAAGCCCTCCATGTGAATTATCAAACGGATCCATCATAATAACTCTATAAATAATCCTATAAATTAGTAGTACTATTATTATTATTTTATCCTCTTTTTTAAAATGTATTTATTTGAGAGGGAGAGAGAGAGAGCAAGGGGGTAAGGAGCATAGGGAGAGAAAAACTCAAGCAGACTCCGAGCTGAGCACACGGAGCCCGACGCAGGGCTTGATCTCACAACCCTGCAATCATGACCTGAGCCGAAACCAAAAGCCAGCCACTTAACCAGCTGCACCACCCAGGCAAATGTCTCTTATCCTCTTTTTACAGAGAAGGAAACTGAAGCTTAGGTAGTCCTACTCTGGTCTTTTTTAGCAATTTTATATGAATACTTCAAAAGAAACGAACTGTATACTATCATTAAAAATGAAAATATTCACATAGAGAAAAACGTTGGAGAGAAAAAAACAAAAATAAGGGAAATGTGTAATAAAATCTATAAGCCTTCAGAATGATTGACTCCATTTATGTTTGTCTTTATAGTGAAAATTGAAGAGAAAATGTAGACAATAATGGAGTTCGAATTCTTACTATCTCAGCCTCTAACCAAGAAAGAATGAAACATGAAAATTATAAACATTTATGCACATATATTTTAGTTTTAGCTTATAATCTGAGCCTTTAGTTAGTATACTTATAAATTTGTGCCAATCGATGTCTTTTTATGAGAAATAAATCATGCACTTAATTCACCCTTGAAAAATGCTAAGGAGTATAATGAAATTTCTGTGTAGAATATTAGATAAGTTTAGTAGAATGAAATTTAAAATGTATTAATCTATTTCTTATATGAGATCAGAAAAGTATGAGTGTTCTCAATTTTTAAAGTTCAGCAGGTCAACACATATTACGTGAACGTATTGTTATTTACGATAGCTTCCCATTGCATGTGACAGAAAGCTAACTGTAATTTCATAAGCAAAAAGAATGAAGGGAGCACATGAAAATTCATGCTATACCAAGGTTTTTGGTTGGATCTGATTGTCAGAGTAAACTCCCCAGCTGGAAACTATACAACTAAAGCAACTTTTTAGGAAGGCTTTTCAGGTGTTGGTTTTCATAAAGGATTGAAGATCAGGAAATAACTTAGGACATTATCACAGTATCTGAATACGAACCCAAGGAGAAAGATGGTGACAGTTGAAAGTATGTCAAAAGAAACTTTGCCCCAAATAGGTGAAGGCTTCAATGGGGAGAATAAAAAGGAAGGACACTGATATTCTTAAGTAAACTGCAAAAAGATTATATAAAAACATGATGTGAAATAAATCAACCTGCTGAGGGCCTTGAATGAATGCTGAATTGTCTCCATGTCATCTAACCACTAGGGGTCAGAGCGCTATACTTGCAATAATAGCAGCTTTTTCTATTCTATCGGTTTGCACAAATAGATTTGGCTCAGTCCTGTAATTAATTTTCTCTTCTGATTCTCCCACTCTCATTATGAGTGGTTTGGGGGCTGTGCCTGTGGGCCAGGCCAGAGCACTGAGAGGCCCACGTCCCCTTGCCACGGGCAGCTAACCCACACTAGGCCAGGGTGATTTCCGAGCTCTTTGTCCACCAGGAGAACCTGCAGCCGGAAGCTTCTAAAACTACCAGGTGGAGAACACCCGCCTGGGGCCCAAGCTATTTCACAGGAAAGTAGATCTGAATGATGAAGGGAGAAATCAGTAAGTTCTGAGGACAACTATCAACCCCCTACCTCCAGCTTGCTTGAAGCGAGGTTTACTTCTGAGCTGTTTCGTTTCATGAATAGGTAAACGCCCCCTTCTTATTTCTTAAGCTAACTTGAGTGGGTTTCTTTCAGTTGCAACTGAAAGAGTACTAGCTAAACTTCTTGGTTTTACATATTCTCTTGATTTAAAACAAACAACAAAAAAAAGATAATTTGTATCTATTGTCTAACTCCCTGATTGCTTATAAGTGTCTGTGGGAGAGAGACATAGGATGTTTTTTCTGTCTTTCAGTAATATATAACTCAATATATAATAAACTTATTGAGTCATAGAATAATAGATTTGCAGTGTATATAGTGTATCTGAAATTCTCAGACTAAAAAAAAACAGACACAATTTCTGCCCTCTTAAGAGTTTACATGCTAGGGCGCCTGGGTGGCTCAGTTGGTTAAGCGACGGCCTTCGGCTCAGGTCATGATCCTGGAGTCCCTGGATCGAGTTCCGCATCGGGCTCCCTGCTTGGCAGGGAGTCTGCTTCTCCCTC